AGAACGGAGGCTCTTTCTTCGCAGGATTTTGACCGTTTCACTCCGTTCTTTCGCCATTTCCCCACTATATAGCGCCCTACTAGCATTTTAGGCCGAGCACCAAATCATCGTGCCAACTGCCTTTAACAGTGCCTAAACGGCTGATACCGTTTGGACGCGCTTAGTTTTGGCTGCGAGCTCCTTTAAGAAGTTTTTGAAGCAAGTTAAACGTGTGAGTGCTGTAAGGTTACGGCATGAAAGCCGTTGAGCTGAGAGGGTAATAGCGGCCCTTTGCGAAGTGCCTAGATGACCAAATCCGCTGAAAACTTGTATACAGGGGTAATTTAACATCCTGATTACGAATATGACATTCATTCTTGGCGCTAGGCGCTAATGGAGGACACTATGATTATCTGCGCTCTGCTAGGGCTGAGCCCAGAAGATAATCGTGGTGTCCTCCATTAGGTGCTCCTGTGGTCACCTCGGGTCTCACGAGGCCATGGAAAAAATTCCAAGTAGTCACGATACCACTGAAATCGGATCATCAGTACGTTGTTCACCAGTTGGTGATTGGTTAGTGGTCGTTTCAGAAAGAAAACAATCAGTGATGAAAATGGCGGCGGGTGAAATCATTCCATCGTAAAACAGCCGCGACCGATTGGGACGTTATTAACGTACCTGATCCATTCAGAGCATTCTCCTCTTTCCTCCTCTGCACCTTGGAACACAGTCTGAAGAGTACAAGAATCCCATTATGAACTCAAAATTAGAGATACTACCGGACCGCCGTGATAGACAGTGGGCAGAGGTGTGGATCCCTGCAAGAATTCCATCATCGCTGTCAATCATGCCTCTTCGCGTGAGATACATATGTGGGGAGATAGGGGAATGAGGGGACCTTGCTGCCTACAAAGATAATTTCCGAGAAACCTTGTGCTGTAGACTCGATAACATTTACCCTCAGGGCACGTCCTCCCGCCAGGGAAATGTTCCGGGAAACACGAGCCCCCTCCCCCACTATTTCGTCCTCTGAGACATTGTTCCCCAACGCGGGAAATCTTTCGAGGGTAAACACGACTACCCCTCCACTCTCCTAACGACAAGCAATACGACGCACCTCCCTCCATTGGAATCAGGGCACATCATTGGTTGGGGATTTTGGTCCAGTCCGTGCGACCCTCCCCCTTTTTTGGGTATTGGCACGACCCCTGTCTTTCCTCATTGAAGCTGTCGAACAGGTGGGTGCCACTTTCTCCAGAATTTCCCGAAAATTTCCCTACTTCTACCAAATGGGAGAGGGGGGGGGTATGTAGCACACATGGAACAGGAAAATCATCAAAAGTCAAATACCTGACCAGAAAGTATTTTCACAGTAGTTTCGGAAAGAACATCGGAAAGATGGTAGGAAGTAGGGAGAATTCACAAAAATCGTAGGTATGTAGGATGGGACATGGGGAAGGGGCGGTTCACCTGTGGGGCCGTCTTGAGGGAGGGGTGCATTTTTGCAGAAACTTTTCTAACAGGCAGGACGGGGCCTGTTTCGTGCTAGTTTGTCTTGTTAACATCGCTCCCTTTCTCTACCTCTCACAAAAAGAAAGTCCACTTATCACGGAAATCTCACTCCAAAGGATATGCCCTAAGTCCCTAGGTCTTGAGTTACAGGTCTCCTGTCAACGGACATGCCCTCGCTGCTACGGTCCAGAGGTATTTTAGGTACTCGTGGCATCTACTGGCCCAGCAGTTGAAGGGAGGAAGCAAAGGAGGAGGGAAAAGAGAAGAAAGGGAGGAAGAGAAGGAAGGAGGGAGAAAGGAAGACAGAAAGCTTCTAATTTCCTTTTTCTTGGAAGTACAGGTTTCCTGAGGTTCCAAATACGCCCACTTCTTTGGCCGAAGCAGCCGCTACCAGGGCTACCGGGTAGCGGCAATTGATCATCAAATATAGCTGCCGCGGGAACGAAAAGCGCCCGCTGAACACATGGCATCAGCTTGGGAACAATCGGGTCGGGGCAGAATTAATCACTCGTGGCTGATATCGTTGACGGAAGGACGGCTGTAAGCCGGAACGGCACGTCGCGAACGTCGCCGCACGTCGCATTGCGGCGCCGGTTGGCGCGCGCGCTCACCCTGTTGGGCGTGGCGTGGAGCCGGCTGTCGGGCAAGCACCATTCCTTCGCGATGTCGTCGTATGCGGTCTGGTCCGGTAACGGGCATACTATTCTTTATGCCCCCTATACCTATAAAAGTGTTGTCGGGATTGAACACTACTGGAATCCAGATGCTACGCACGAATTCTTTTCTCGGCACTGGAGCTCTTCTATATATTTGGCTTTGGGTTATGTAGTCCTTATTAATGTCATGCAACGAGTTATGGAAAATAGAAAACCTTTGAAGTGAGTGGTGCGTTTCTCTGCTTTTTTTACTGATATTCAAGTGCAAATCTGCAAATTCGACGTTTCTCAGGCCCTGTTTCGTACCAGGAACGGGTCAAAACCCACTTGGGTTTGCTGTTAAGTTCGTTCCCAGTTCACAGGAAGTTAGCTGAGTAGGCGGATTAATCCTTATCTCTCCGGAAGTCCCTGAGTCATGTCCCACGTCATGTCCCACCCGATTTATTTAGCTCAACTCTGCAAGTTTCAAAGCTCACGAAACCGGTTTTCCCGTTATTATACTCCAGAATGACCGCTTTAGCTCAACACTCCCTACGAAATGAGCCATATTGATAAGGTTAATAGAGGCTATCGTTGGGAAAAGCTATCAAGCTCCGTAAAAAAAAGTATCCCGCTTGCTCACTTGCGCCTAAGTAGCCCATTTTATGAGCACAGTTCTGCGACCTGCGGTCATTCTCGTGATCTACTTTTCTGCAGCGATGCAAATCGGCTGGAGCGAGCAGCTGGAGGACTGTTAAAAAAATTAAAACTGAGATTAAACTACTGTAGTGGGTTAAATGACTCCAGGATATTTGAGGAGTCTAGGTTATTTTTTTCTTTTCCTGCTTTTAGGAATGGCGTTCCTTCTTTAATTATTCCGGGCCATAGGTAACGCTTGGAAAGCGACCAAGGCGGTTCGAGGGAAGCAGGTGGGTGAACCCATTTCTTCCCCCGTTCACCGCTTAAGCGAGAAGGCTTCCGCATTACAGCAGCAGCTCAATTCTGTTCAACGACTTCTGTGAATGCCCCTCCCACTTTTGATCAATTTGTGCCTAAGTACCTAAGTACCTAAGTTTCTACGGTTAAAGCGTCCTCCGGTTTTGAACATAATGAATGTTTTACAAAGACAACTGAAAAAAGGCATTTGGCCAGGGGGGGGGGTACTAAATACTATTTAGCGAAGCCTATACAGGCCATTCTGAGAAGTCTTTAATATTCTTGTAGAAAAAGAGTGCAAAATGAGTGCGAAAGTGCAAAAAAATGCTCCTTCCAAGCTGAACAGTGTTTTTTCCGCTTCCATTTTTTCTCGTACGATTTGTATGCAGTATAGTTTTTAGAGTGTTAGTCCATAGTCCGCTTTTGGGTGCCACAAAAAATAAAAAAAAAACATGGGGTTGAGGAGGAAGGGCTCTTTTTGCGAGGCAGACCATTGATGCGATCATTGATGTGCTAAACCCTCTTTTTGCAACAAAAAACTGGTTCACCGAGCTCATCACTTCAGAAAAATCCCCTTTTCCATTAAGGCCATGCGGGCTGGTTTTTCATAAGCCGCACTCTAAATGTCCTCTGCCTCACCAGCTGTCTTGTGTCTATCCTTGCCTAGGTTTGGCGTTGCCAGTCGTCCATGCGACCCCTGAATAAGTGCGACCTATACCCTAGAGAAGAGTTAGAGAGCTAATGCTCCAGTGATTTCGTGAAACAAAATACTACCCATTGAATAAAGCGGTTATGTTCATAGTATCCATTTGCGCTGATATTTTTTTAAACCTTTTTGACATGAATATAACATTCAAATGACAACTAAGACCGTGTTCATATTGCTTCATCGTTCCGAGCGACTAGAAAAATATAGGTATCGATCTTTCGTTTTAAGCGTACGCCAGCGTTTTCAGCAACCGCCCGAGGAAAGTTCAAGACTACCAGCGAAACGCTCGAAACGCTGATGTACGCTCGAACGCTAGATCGATATCTATGCTTTTCTAGTCGCTCAAAACGCTGACGCTGTCGTATGAAAGCACCCTAAGAGTGTAATGAGTGTGGAATAAATAGGTAAACGGAATACCTGTAAATTCATTTGAAGAGGGAATCAGCTTGGTGCAGGAATCAAGTTACACTGCTAAATTTTTTTGCAGTATCAAATGGATATTACTATTTTGGAACAGCGCATTGGCTATGTTCAGTATGATGGGTACCTGGCGGTTTGGACTCGAGTTCTACAATATGCTTACGACGAGGTATCATTTTTTCTTCTTTTTTTTCTCAAAAGAAATGACATGTTCGTGCCTTCAGATTGATCACTTTTTTATCGCGGAAGTGCTCGATTTTATTTGCTCTGTCCCCTCATTCCGCTCCATTTTTCAATTTCATTTTCATTTAATGCTCTCCGATTGCATTGTGAGCTTTTATGGGCATTAAAGTCTGGTCCACTGCGGTCAGAGCACGTCCTGCCGTTGGGGAAAACTTTTTTGCAAAATATTTGATCCTCTTCCTCGAGATTTCACTATTTGGTACGTCCCCTTCTCCATTTCTCACGCTACCATCTTCCCATATTTTCCTAACTTCCTACCACTTTTCCGGAGTTCTTTTTTTCTTCCAAAGCTGCCATCGAGGGGGGGGGATGGGCATAGAATACGTAAAACAGGAAAACCGAGAAGCGCGAAATCATTTTATCAAAAAAGCCTCCACCTCTCTCCCCCAGTGACCAAATAGGACCCCTGTACGGGAATCTCCCACCTACGACATGCCGTCTGCGATCTCCATGGGAGTTTCTCACGTAAAACGTACTTTGACTGCGGCCCTGTAAGGATGAGCCTGAAAAGGATCACTCCTTGAAAAGAGGAGGAGTGTAGATGACCAGAGTCGCAGCGGTCTAGCGGCCTACTGACCCCCTCCAATTATGTTAGTGCACCTTTATGTCGCTTTGGTCTTTTTTGGTCTTGTTATTCCTATCGGCATAGATTTATGGGTCTTAGCTGACAGTCGGCGCTAGAGTAATTCTACCGATGACGGCTGC